ATGACTGGAACATTGTGCTGTGCACCAGAGACCGACACATTGTAATTGACTGTACTTCAATATAAAAAAAAAAGAAACCAATTACTGGCTGATAACTGGTAATTTAGAGCAATATAGTTGGAAATGAATGCATCAGACTGACGAGGGCAAGTCACGTATATTGCTAATGCAAATAAATAGATGGCAACATGTAAAAAGCAAACAAAAATACAAGCATACATTCATACTACACACATGCGCCTCCTATTTCCCTGCATGGAATTGGATCCAAGAGGGCGCAGCCAATAAACATGGAAAGCAGTAAACGCCCACACTTACCAAGGCTCAGGAGTGCGTGATGCTAAAAGTGCCAGCCGACACCTTCAGTCTAGGTTTTCGAAGCCTATGAAATATGCGAGGGCTTTCTAAAACTCGACTGCAGCAAAACCGCTCCTGAATTTAGTCACACTGCGAGCAATGAACAAAGTCAACAGTGACTCAAATATTTTTCACACCAACTGTGTCTTCACAAAAGCTGTTGGGGCAGGGAGAGAGGGGGGACCCCAATCTTCTGGATGGTCCTGGTGAAAGTCGACTGGAGGTCCTGACCATTCTGACCGTCACATTGGTTACTCCATTTCACACAGCAAGTCAGAGAAAACCAAAACAAAACCCTTCCTAGGACTAGTCTGATGCATTCATGGTCAGGAATCGAAAAGAGGGGTCTCTAATCTTAATATGTGATGGGATTCTGATTTACCTCTTGCAGGTTTGCAGAAAGTGGAAGCAGCACATCCAACCACCAGCCCCTTGAACAAGAGGCACGACTTTTAACACAAAGGAATGCTGTCACAGCAGACTACGCTACCCAGTGGGCAGGGATGTGCTCACGGCGCCTTCAGCAGGTAATGGACGCCCTGCCTTGACTTTTTTCTTAATGGCAGGACTGGGACTAGAACCTAACCTAGTCATGCTAAGCATGCACTCTACCCGAAAGAGGGGCCCAGGGGAAGCCTTCAACTTGCTCTTCTCTTGCCCAAACTGTTTGTTTCTTTTCCTTAACAGAGGCACTGGGGAAAAGAACCCCGGACTTCATGCACGCCAAGCACGCACTCTACCACTGAGCTATTTGCAGATACTAACCACGGTATATAAAATAGGTAAACAGCAAGGTCCTACTGTATGGCC